CGGGGGGGGCGCGGGACTAGAAACCTCTGAGGTCCCTTCCAGCCCTGGGATGCTGGAACCAGTGGGACAACTCAGCTCCATCGATGGACGTTTTGAAGAAGAAGATTGGACAGCCATTTGCCTGCAATGGATCAGGGCCTCCTGCCTGAGCAGGGGGGGCTGGACTAGAAACCTCTGAGGTCCCTTCCAGCCCTGGGATGCTGGAACCAGTGGGACAACTCAGCTCCATCGATGGAGGTTTTGAAGAAGAAGATTGGACAGCCATTTGCCTGCAATGGATCAGGGCCTCCTGCCTGAGCAGGGGGGGCTGGACTAGAAGACCTCCCAGGTCCCCACCAGCCCTATTACTCTGTGGCCTAGCTCTCTGCAGAAGCCCCCTACAAGTGGGGCCAAATGCCACCCCCTCTCTGTGACCGTGGGGCCGAGAAACAAGCCCTCCAGAGCACAGGGTGGCAGAACCTCTCATGGAGATCGGGCCGACTTCAGACAGATTTTCAATAGTAAAAAATTCTATTTCGCAACTGGGGTTTGTAATCTCCTTCCTGTCAAGATTTCAGATTTTAGATTCTGGGTTTTGTATTTTACTCCGGTGTTCCTTGGTACCTGAAATACCATGTGAATGTCTACTGTGCTTCCCCCGAAAATAAGACAGGGTCTTATTTTATTTTATTTTTAAATAGTTTCATTAAACATCCTTACCTTTAAAAACAGAAAAAAACAACAACAAAAGAAAGACAAAACAAGACAACGTCACAATATGGAAGCAGTTATTCAGCCTTCCTGTTCAGCCTTTGTAGTTCTCCATTCTATCGACTGCCTTCCTATCGGTTTTAACTTTTCTAATAATGTAATAAAAGTAATACTAACACTTGTAATAACATTGATTATCACCATTATCTTTACATTGCAGTCAATCCTTAAAAGTTTGATAGTGATTACTGTGCACCGTGTTTCCCAGAAAATGAGACAGGGGTCTTATTTTCTTTTGAACCCCACCCAACCCCACTCGAAATAAGCGCTTGGCCTTATTTTCGGGGAGGCCTTATTTTGGGGACAACGGGGGTAATACAATAGACCTGTGTCTTGTTCTCCTCCCGGGCTCCCCGAATCCCCGGAAGGGAAGAAGCCACGATTGACAATGGAGGTTTATCTCAGTGGGGATTCTAACATCAACACTCCACCTCCAGGAGCCGGAGAGAGCGGAGGGGAGGGGGGGATGGCAGGCAAGTGGAAGTGCCCACCGTGAGCAGAATCAGGGTGATGCTGGGAGGGGCTTCGCTTCTTCTTCCTCTTCGTCCCCCCCCCCAACTTCCCCAAGGAGATCAGGCCGCTGCTCCCAGCCCCAGTGGAGAGCCTGCAGCTCTGGGAACTGGCCATGGTGCTGCAGGGATGCCTGGTTAGCCAGCATCCCTACACGCACCCACCCCCATGGAGAAAGATGGGCAGGTGGGCAGACAGCAGCTGGTTCCACAAAGAGACCCCCCAAGAGTGGGGAGCAGAGAGGCCGGAGGGCAAGCAGATCTCCCCCTTCCCTCCTGCAACGGCTCAGCTGCTGCGGGATGCCCTGAGTCAGAGGTCCTCAAACTTGGGAACTTTTAAGACTTGTGGACTTCAACTCCCAGAATTCTCCAGCCAGCTCTATTAAAGTATGATGATGATGATGATGATGATGATAATAATAATAATAATAGGCCCCAGGGGCCTAGGACGTTGTAACATATTTTCGTAATATGCGTGCAGATCCAAGCAGTGCGGCTTTTTGCATTAGACTGATGGTGATTTTGTCAATTTTTAACTGTTTTAAATGTAATTATTATTATTATTTACAAAAATACATTACGATGTCCTAGGCCCCTGGGTGGGGCCCGACTAGTAACCAATGCCAAATCCGGCGAAACAACTGGCCGCTGTGATACAATTCTGCTGTTGCGAATAATAATAATAATAGTAAATATTAATATTTTTCTTTCAGGGAAAAGACTTTGGTGTAGTTTCAAATATGGATTCCTACATATATTGGTTTCAGAGCAAGGAGTCTCATTGTTTCCCGTGACTGGAATCCTGGAAATACTTCAAAGTTTTGTCTCTTTCAGAAGACAGCCCACTCTGAACAATCTAATGGAATGTATCTAGGGCAGCTGTTTTATAGCAAGCTCGAACATATTTCTTGCTTGATATACATTGCCTAGTGGTCATCTTTCTGCAGGTAAAAAGCCGCCTAAGAAGGAAATCGTGGGTTGTGAGTAATGCTGATTGGTCACAATTTGTGGGAAATCTGAACAATTATTTATTTAACAAAAATTCACCTGCTTATCATTTATCCTGACCGCTCTTGAGCAAGATT